AACACACATCAGTCACATAATAAAGCACATACAGTATGCATGATCCAGACGCTGTATTTAATAGCATGATACAGAGAAATACTGAGAACAATGTTAGCGAAAATCAGGAAAACCCATGAACAGAGGGAAGAGTACAGGTGTTTATAGTGAGCGATGGGTTAATAATACTGTTGAAAGCACACCAAGTCAATGAGTTAGAGGAGGAAACATGCAAACATTTACATCTATCCACCACACACACACACACACCGTTCTACAAAATGGCTCAAAAGCTGGTGTCTAAATGGCTTTGCTGAGAAAAGGTTGCTGTAAATGCTTTAATTCATGCCGAATTCAGACAGCAGGATTTTTGAGTAGTCACGTCACAGATGTTTTCACACTGCACGACTATCTGAGTGCTGCTGTGTTTACTCTGCAAGATGGATCGGCGACAGGTTTCACACTGCATGACTTTACAATAGGAGAATCATCGACAACTTAGTCCCCATTTACACTAATTTGTTTTCGTTTTCAAACGCATAAGTTTTGCTATGGTTACGCCATCCGTCCAGACTACGCCGGAGTTCTCGAGCACCGAAAACGGAGCGTTTCAAAAACGCTGGAGAGGCCGTTTTTATTCTGAAACGCTGCTGCTCCATCTCAGTGTGGATGAGGGAAAACGGAGACATCTGAAAACGAAGGCGGGACTACTGAGATTCGCTAGCTGATTGGGGCTTTTCGTATCCTTCCTTTATTCGTCAAGACTCTATCACATGACTATAACACATGGGTTCAACGCTACCGGAAGACAGTACTGTAAACAACAACATGGACACAGAAATGGGAGCGTTGTTTGCACTATTGTCTGTTTTAGGCGGCATTGTGCAGTTATTCATTTGTTACGTTTAGTAACTCGACCTCGTCGTCTGTCCACAAAAATACCTCTCTTGCTTTCTTCACCATCACGTTCATTGTTCAACCGGCGTTTGTTGACTAACAATAACCAAATGCCGAGCGAGACGCATGTTTTCTGTTTATACTAGAACACGCATGCCCAGAGTGTGCGAATGGTCACGTGATATCTGTTTTTGGTGGCGTAGTGTGGACGGAGATATGTTCAGAGATGCTAGGTGAAACGCTAGTGTGGACGCGAATCGTTTTTGATCTAAAACGCCGTTTTAAAACTAAAACGCACTGCTGTAAACGGGACCTTAGTCTTGGTCCACGAACTACGTCTCACAAATTTGAGGTCAAGGAGTAAATCTTGTCTTATTAACTGCATAATGAGAAAGAAGACTTTAGTCTGGTAGAGGATGTACTTATTTTGCTCATCTCCACCTTTTGAAGAGACTCCTTTTCTTTTTCAACTCGTTTGTGATTTTGCTCTGATGACATGTCAAACAAATTAGGGTGCTCCTGCCAGATCTCCACTAGCTTTCCTCCATTTCTTGTGTCCATGTGAAGTTTATTTATAAACTAATGTTGAGAGGATCACGTGCTTATGATTGCTTGCGGCCCGCCCCGCATTATTTAATTCATGATTCACCAATCAGACGATTCCTAAGCCACCTTAATTACCCTAAGCTCCATATGACAGCCATCTTCGTTTTGAAGAAGCCCCTCTTCCACCCTTACTCCTCCTTCTTTTCTAGATGGGTGGCCCAGTGGTTAGCACTGTTGCCTCACAGCAAGAACGTCACCGGTTCTAGTCCTTACCAAGCCAGCTCACGTTTCTGTGCGGAGTTTACACGTTCTCCCCGTGCCCAGGTGGGTTTTCCCCCGGGTTCCTCCCACCATCAAAAAACATGCGACTTAAGTTAATTGACTAGTCCAAATCGGTACCATAGACATGCTCCTAGTAAGTAGTTCTCTCTTAAGAGCGATCACTATCTGTTCATTAGCCACTACAGCAGGGGAGCTCTCCAGATCTACCTGAGCTCAAACTCCCCTCTCGCCCTGCAAACGGGAGGGAGCCCCGGGCTCGAGGATCTTATGAGCTAAGGGCTCTCTCCCTGGACAGCGTTCCAAACACGCTTCATAATCAATCATGAGCTGAGTGTGAACTCTTGAATTAGAGCGAAGAGAAGCCCTTTTCTTATTCGAAGCCATGCTTGTTGATATTAGAGTCTACACCTTCGTAACTCCGCCTCCAACTGGCCTGAATGCTCTTCTCTCATTGGCTGTAGGTGATCGCCGATGTTATTTTCAGTCATTTCACATGGCATGATCTTGAATAGCCAACTGCTCCAGATATTTAGCATACCAAATATCTCAGGAGTGTCAGCGACTCATCGGCGATTCTCTCAGATGCGTCTTTGATAGTTCACACTGTGATTGTTACTCGCATGAACGAGCGCAGATTTACCTGTGACTTCAGGTGTTTGTCGGCGATTTATCCATGCCTGTCGGCGAGTCAAAATTGGTGTTAAAATCGTGCGGTCTGAACTCGGCATTAGTGAAACAGCAGATATTCACGTTTATTTGCGACCTCGTCTTTCGTGAGGAAACACTTTTAGCGACATGGATTTGACCACTCACACTGATAATAATATGCAGGCGTATGGGACTTCAGTGCAGGGAAAACCCAACCCATATGGTAAAACAACAATAATAAAATACATACATAAATAAACAGCCAAAAATATACACATCACATGGATGTACACAATAGCCCCTTTCACACTGCAATACGGGTAAATATCCGGGATAATTACCGAAACGACTTAACTGGTAATTTCAATAAAGCGCTGCTCATGCAGGCAAGGATGATCTGGATTTGTTCCGGAAAAGACCATCATAAGACGCATAATGCATATCTGTTATTATTATTGTTAATAATAATAACAACAATAATTACATTAAATGTATTTTAAATAATGTATAATTTGCATCTTTTTCACCCTAAAAAATAAATATATTTTTAGAAATAAATGATGGTTGAAATGAAAAAGCAAAGTAATCAACAGACACAATGTATAATTGAAATCTGCATGTTTTGGCCTGGAATGTTGTTGTTGTTTTTTTTTACCATATGGGAAAGCTCTGCACTAAAGACTGGAGATGGGAGAGGGAAACCAGCGATAAGAAGAGAAGAGAAGAGGATTTATTGAAAGAGAGATCCAGGCGTAAGGCTCTGGTGAGGCTATAAGACACTTTGAATGGTTTTCTATGGGGCTGAAGTCTTTCATAGTGATCCGCTCTAGATATACATCAGCGTCTCCAGATGACCGGACACAAAACTTCTCTTTCATTTCCTGATGTCTGACATTTCTCAAAACTCCTGTTATCAGCCGAACTCAAACAATGTCTGATCCCCTAAAGGTGTCCCGTTCAGACAAAATCGCTCATTCACCTGCAGGAGGGTCTATATTTAACACACATTCAGACGAAAAATAAACACACTTAAGTAGAGGTGAAACCCCTGGATGGATGACATTACTCTTGGACAGATTGACAATGGAAAGCAACGGCACTGCAGAGTTTTGATCTCGTTTCTAGTGCAAATATGGAATAATTCCTAAACCAAGAAGCAATTTTTTAGACAAACAAAAAGACAGTCTTGCTTTTAGAAATAAAACGAAGTGAGGTTGTCCTTAACCAGAATAATCCGCCAATGAGGTAAGCCAAATAATCTTGTTTGAAAAGCATTTATTTTGCATTGCCGATTTGTAGATTATATTTGGTTGTTTTGAGGAAAAACTTCATGAGTTAAAATGATATGATGTGATACTGATATCATAAACACTTCATAGATAGACCATATAAATCAGGATAATCTGGACAGTAACAACAAGCGCCCCCTCCACAAGGGCCGCCACGTGCCCAGTGACAATCCGATAGTGAAGAGGAGAGTAATATTTTACTGAATATATTTTTTGCTTGACTGGAAGATGCTTCTTGATTTAGAAACAAGACAAAAACTCTCAAGTAAGAAAAGCGTTTTTGTAGTGTGCTGACCTTTGTTGAGTGGCGATCAGTGGCAGTGAGGAATTCAAAGTGAGGTATAAAACTTGAGGCTTCTTGAATACTGCTGTACATCCCTGCTGAAAAGACCATTGTCATACCTTATCGTCCCTTATATATATGTCATAATGGACACTCATTTCGAATCCCTCTCATGAGTTTCTGAATCGATTCTCGAAAGTTCAATCAAAGTGTTTCTGCAGACTGTTTTTATCAAGAGAATAAATATAAGAAAAATTGAATTAATACATGTTTACCATTAGAGGTTGGTTATATTCAGACACTGCTGTGTTTAAACCCTTTATAAAAGTGATTTTTACGTGCATAACAGCTCCCCTTTAGGATGGCAGGTGGAAAATAGTAACTTTAATGAGTCTCTAAAGATTCCCCGGCCTAACAGATGCACACAACTTGTACGCAGTCATAATGTTATTTAATATTGAACTGCAGGTGTCGCTTTGTGGCATGGCAGGACTTTAAGAGTCCTGAATCATAGCTAGGTGTTGGATGGTGCCGCTGGTGTCCGTAAACTCCTAAAAAACAACTTATGTCAGTACCGATAGCCTAGGGCAGTGCGACATATTGTGCAATTGTGCTTCAGGTGACCTGAGTTCGAGTCCCAGCTCATGGACTTTTTCCAATCGTATCCCCCCCTCTCTGTTTTATCCTAATAAAGGCAAAAAGCACCAAAAATCTTTCATCCATGGTACGACCCCTTTAGTTTGCAGTTTTGGAATTTCAAAAGAGCTTGATCAAACAACTCTTTCGGAAAAGTTCACGCTGGCTGGTAAACTCCGTCAAACTACCATTGGTCTGTAACAGATAACGGTGGAGGCTTCCTTGAGGTGTAAATCTTCTCCAGTTAATTTTCTCTCTTCAGTTTGAGCCCAGGCATCTAAATAAATAAATAAATACTGAAAATAAAATTATGCTATACCAGGGGTTTACAGGATTGCTCCTGGAGGGCAACTGTCCTGCAGAGTTTAGCTTATCCCTGCTGAAAAATCCAGCTTAAACCAGCCTAGGCTGGTTTAAGCTGTTTTTTTTCAGTAGGGATACCTTAATTAAACACACAACAACCATCTTATCAAGGCCCTCAGACTTACATAAACCTCAAGGCAAGTGTTAGAGAAGCTAGTTGAAGGTAATATTTGCAGGGCAGTGTCTCCTCAAGCAGGATTGGCCACTCGATTTTAGAAATTAAAGTAAAATTTTACTGGCCATAAATCGTATGTATGCAAGGGGTTAATTCTTGACATTTATGTAAATTCCAAACATGAACATTATCTCATATCTAATTTGCATATATTTAAATTTTTCTCTATGGGCAACAATAGCAAAACTCATTGCAGTAAATATTTGGGATCTTTTTCCTTTGTGTGGTTGAAGGGGGGAACCTGAATCTCGGGTCACAGGCAGGTCTATTGTAGAGCTCTCACACACACACCCATGCACACACTCATTCACCCCTATGGTCAATTTGGCATCATCAACCCACTTGTGTCACTTGTTTCTGGATAGTGGGAGGTGCAGAGAACACAAAGGGAACCCACGCACACACAGGGAAAACATGCTCGAACTAAGGACCTTCTTGCTATGAGGCAGCACTGCTTCCCACTGAGTCATCGTGCTGCCCATGAGTCATCAGTGCATGTGAAGCCTTCATAATCCTGCACTGTATTTGGATTCTTTTGAAAAATGCATCTGAAACATTTTTCCCTTTTGACCGATCACCATGTTTCACCCACTGGTCTGGCATGACTCATTCTCTATCCACAACGTCACGGCTTACATTTCCAATCATAAATATGTTGCACATCAAAAGTAAAATGGGTTGTAGGTGTAATTCTGTGCTCACTGTAAACAGTAAGACTTCCTTGGACAAGTTTTGCTGATGAAGTCGTCCAGCAGATAGAAAAGAAGCACCTGACCAGCTATGACAATCCAATCTTGTCTTTTCAGCAGGGTGTTTATATACAATAAGTAGTCGTAACATCCTAAACTAGAATGCACCAGTGATTATTTAGTGATACTTCTAGTCGTACAACAACAAAAATAATAGAGATTTGAGATTTGCACTGTGTTGCAAAGTGGCTCCAGATCAAGTCTGAGCAGTTGGCACTGCCAAGATGATAGGCACACTGAATAGGGATAGACAACTGTGGCTACAAACATATGATACAAACAAACAAGGGTGTTCAGTATTCAACTCCGGTCAGCGCTGAACACACAACGACGGGAAGGCTTCAGCTGTGAGCCTGCATTAGCACCATCTCAAAGTGTGAGAGTCATTATCATATTGGTATACACCGAGAATATGCCACTGTATTGACCAAGGGAATGGATTGGCTTACTTAAAACTCTCAATATCCATCCGTTTTACATTTGCGTGTCTTGCCCTTTGATAAGAGATGTGCGCTTCTGAGAGATCGTGTGGAGAAACACAAGAGTAGTTGTTGAAAGTGGAGATTAAATCTTTCCTTCTGAACACAGTGGCTCTCTTTCACCAATGAGAGACGTCATTGATCATCAATGGGTATCCCCTTCGTTGGCGTCTGCCACTTATCCCCAATGGCTATCCAATTAATATGGCCTTTATCTCTTCCGTTCCATTGAGTACCCTCATACAGGTGTTGTCCTCCTGTTGGCACCATCATTAAGGTCTTTAGGAAAGCAGTTGTGCACTTGGAGGAATCCAGAATCATGATCTGGACTGTAAGAACTATCCGTGCCTGATTTGAGAGGGTCTCTCGTCAGTGTGTACATGTTGATCTCTCCTACAGGCACCGAGCTAATCATTTTCATGCCCACAGGCGACGCCTCGCGGGATGCTTCTGTGGAGCGCGAACTGGACCGCGAGTGCCGTCGACGATAGCGAAAGCTGGGCATGCGGGAGTATGGCGAAGAGGAGGAGGTAGACTTGATGAACTCACGTCGTGCTTTAAACCTCACTTCTTTATTCTTCTCGATGTAGATGTTGACTGCCAGAACGGCCACCGCCTCGGCCACAATGAAAGAGAGCGCTCCAAAGTAGAACGACCAACCATAGTTATACTGATTCTTCTTGTCCTCGTCTCTTTTGTCGCTGGGGTCGCCGGCATTGCTGGAGATGTAGACAATTATACCGATGATGTTGCTCAAACCTGCCAGACACAAAACAAGCAAATGTCTTGATAAGTAACATAAGTTTTATTTAATTTGTCATTTGATATAACAAGGTACATATAAATGTGGATTAAGTGAAGTTTCATCGTAGATCACGTGCTTATGATTGCTTGCAGCCGGCTCCGCATTATTCAATTTATGATTCACCAATCAGACGATTCTAAAACCACTATAATTACCATAAGTTCCATATAACAGCCATCTTCATTTTGAAGAATCCCCACTTCCACCTCACTCCTCCTCCTTCCCTAGATGGGTGGCACAGTGGCCCAGTAGTTAGCACTGTTGCCTCACAGCAAGAACGTCACTGGTTCTAGTCGTTACCAATCCAGTCAACGATTCTGTGCAGAGTTTATTCGTTCTTCCAATGCTCACGTGGGTTTCCCACGGGTTCCCCAGTTTCCTCCCACCATCCAAAATCATGCAACTTAAGTTAATTGACTAATCCAAATCAGCACCATAGACATGCTCCTAGTCAGTAGTTTTCTCTTAAGAGCGATCACTATCTGTCCATTAGCTACTACAGCAGGGGAGTTCTCGAGATCTACCTGAGCTCAAACTCCCCTCTCGCCTTGCAAACGAGAGAGAGCCCTGGGTTCGAGGATCTTATGAGCTCAGGGCTTTCTTCCAAACAAGCTTTAATAATCAATCATCAGCTAAGTGTGAACTCTTGAAAAATAACAAATAAACTACCAAGAATAGTACATGCGACTGCCAGAAATGTCAACCAGACCTGCGTAGCGCATAATGTGAAAAATGTGTGTGTGGGGGGGTTATGCCAGGTAAGGTAGTACTTATGATCGCACAAAGTGAAGAGCGGGGGAGGGTGGTCCATATGATGGCGAGAAGGTGAGTGACTTATTTGAAGGCTGAGGTGAGTTATGATTGCGTGAACGGAAGACCGGGGGGTGGGGGTGGTGTCAGGGTTACCACGCGGGGCCCCCTATCACACGGGGCCCCCATCCCATCACTCTGAGGCAATGTGCAAAACTTCAAGTATCAGTGTGCCCCTCAAAACCAAGGGAATGAGGTTTATTTGCTTAATTCTGTTTCACTCACCATCTTTAAACCTCATTTACACCCGGGTCACGGCACCAAATATTATGGTCCCATCACTCTGAGTGATAATGAACAAGCACCAGCCAGCATGAGAGACAATCTGCAAAACTTCTAGTATCAGTGTGCCCCTCAAAACCAAGGGAATGAGGTTTATTTGCTTAATTCTGTTTCACTCACCGTCTTTAAACCTCATTGACACCCGGGTCACGGCACCAAATATTATGGTCCCATCACTCTGAGTGATAATGAATAAGCACCAGCCAGCATGAGTGGCAATGTGCAAAACTTCTAGTATCAGTGTGCCCCTCAAAACCAAGGGAATGAGGTTTATTTGCTTAATTCTGTTTCACTCACTCTATTTTAGTCTCACTCCCATCCGGGTCACGGCACCAAATATACTATTTCCATCACTCTGAATGTTTCTGAACAAGCACCAGCCAGCATGAGAGACAATCTGCAAAACGTCTAGTGTAAGTGTGCCCCTCAAAACCAAGGGAATGGGGTTTACTTGCTTAATTCTGTTTCACTCACCATCTTTAAACCTCATTGACATCCGGGTCACGGCACCAACTATAATATTTCCATCACTCTGAGTGGTACTGAACAAGCACCAGTCAGCATTAAAGGCTATGTTCAAAACATCTAGTATCACTGTGCCTCTCCAAACTAGGACAATACGCTTTACTTGCTTGGTTTCACTCACCCTCTTTAAACCTCACTCCCATCCAGTCACCAGTGTAACTGTTCCAGTTTGTACCACGACAAGTGTGATTCAAACCATCATCGGTGAAAATGCCAGCAAGCATGCCTTAATGCCTGGGGAGTGAGGTGTTCCTCCATAACTCTTCTAGCTAGCTTCCAAAACATTAACATGGCTTCATTAGCCACTTCCCTGTAGGAAAATATACCATATGCTGCACATTTCTAATGGGATGATTGGGAATGGGTAGCTTTTTCTAACTATTATAACCTCCTTTGTTTATTGTGTGGATTTTGACCTTTCTAATATGACAGACATGCTGATGTGTTGTTGTAATTGGCAACAGCTGGTATTACAGCATCTAGGGAGTGAGTGACGTGCTGCTTTTACTCAAGTATTTTCCACAATCAGAGAGCCCATAGAGAGTGGGCCCTTTTAGCACAAGCCATATCAGCCCACTAAATTCACTTGCGTAACAGCTAACGAAAATTGGGCAGCCTTCGCCCCCTCAGTTCCAGTGTACCTGCCAGTAACATCATGGATGAGTTCGACTATCAGAGCAGGGATTAATATATTCCTGATATATTCAGCGAACAAACTGTACGGTCTGAAGTGGGTGGAAAATGCTTCTCTTACTTTGAGTTTTTGTCTTCTTTCTAGTCCAAATATCTAAAAAAAAATTCCTAAATCAAGGAATAATATGTCAAAATTAAGTGAGTTGTTCCTTTAAACAAGCTAAATAATACAACAGTGGGGCATAGACTAGAAAAAGGACAAAACTCTTAATTAAGAAAAACATTTCTGGGGTGTCCAAACTCGGTCCTGGAGAGTTTAGCTCCAACCCAAATCAAACACACTTGAACCAGCTAATTAAGGTCTTACTAGATATACTAGAACAGGGATCACCAAACTTGTTCTTGGAGGGTCGGTGTCCTGCAAATGTTAGCTCCAACCCTAATCAAACACACCTGAACAAGTCTTACTAGGTATACTTGAAACACCCAGACAGGTGTGTTAAGGCAAGTTGGAGCTAAACCCTGCAGGGCACCGGACCTCCAGGAACGAGATTGGTGACCCCTGTACTAGAAACTTTCTGGCAGGAGTGTTGAAGCTGGACACCAACCCTCCAGGACCGAGTTAGGACATCCCTGCTGTATAAGCATGTTAGCAGGTGTTCATTTGCGAGGTTTACCTGCTGCCACAAACAGAATCCCAGCGCTGAGCAATATGTTGTTTCTCTTGTTGTATATGCGTCCTATTCCAACACACAACCCGCCCAGCAACAGCAGGATGGTACTGAGGAGGGGGAACACGCTGGAGGCCCGCACAATACCTGTTCAGACACAAACACTGCTTTAACATTGAGATGTAGACATTAACACATAGTATGTCTAGAAAGGCAGTCACTCACGTAAGAGATACTCCGAGCTGTCTGTGTCATAATCATTATCATCTGGGAAATGATTGATTCGGTAGCAGCTTCCTTTGTTGAGACCTACAGAAATATGATTAGAGGTTTGAGTGAGGATTTGGAAATGTATGCAAATCACAAAGCGTAAGATCAGATGCAATTTAAGAAAAACACCCCGCGTTCGATGACTATTTGTTCTGTTTTGAAGCAGTAGGTGCATGTGAAAAATACACATAGAATTGTTTAGAAACAGATTTAAAGTTAAAGTCGACATGAAACAGAAGGTAAGATTGTCCTTTTTCCACTATACACTGGAAAACATCCTGGAAAAAAAAGTAGGGCGTTGCTCCATTTCATCCTTTGGGAATTAATTTGATTGTTGGAAAATGGGTGTTGCTAACAAAATGAAAGAAGATTGACAAATAGACTAAGTCATGCCCTAAAGGACTGAAAACCCCACCCTAAATTACTGAAAACGATGCACTAAATTGCTCTTGGCCCTAAATTACTGATGGCCCTGCCCTAAATTAATGAAAATTATGCCCTAAATTACTCTGGGCCCTAAATTACTGATAACTATGCCCTCAATTACGAATGGCCCCACCCAAAATTACTGATGGCTGTGCCCTAATGGAATGATAGCCCTGCCCTAAACTACTTATATCCCTGCCGTAAATTACTAATACACCTGCCCTAAATGACTGATAGCCCTGCCCTAAAGACCTGATGGCCCTGCCATACATGACTAAAGCCCTGCCCTAAAGGACTGATACCAACGCCCTAAATTACTTATGACGCTGACCAAAATGACTGATAGCCCCAACATAAATGACTGATTGTCCTGCCCCCTAAATGACTGATGGCTCCGCCCTAAATGACTGATAGCCCTGCCCTAAAGGTCAGATAGCCCTGCCCTGTTGAACTATTCCCCCGGCCAAAATGACTGATGGCTCCGCCCCAAAATGACTGATAGCCCTGCCCTAAAGGACAGATAGCCCTGCCCTGTTGAACTATTGCCCCGGCCTAAATGACTGATGGCTCCGCCCTAAATGACTGATAGCCCTTCCCTAAAGGACAAATAGCCCTGCCCTGTTAAACTAATTCCCCGGCCTAAATGACTGATCGCCCTGCCCTAAAAGACTGATAGCCCCACCTTAAAGGACTGATAGCCCGGCTCTAAATGACTGATAACCCTACTCTAAGTGATTGATAGCCCTGCCCTAAAGGAATAATAGCCCCGCCCAATTGAACTTATGCCCTGCCCTAAATAACCGATAGCCCTGCCCTTAAAGAACAGATAGCCCTACCTTAAATTACTGATGGCCCTGCCCTAAATGACTGATAGCTCCACCCTAAAAGACTGATAGCCCCGCCCCCTAAACGCCTGATGGCCATGCCCTAAAGAACTGATAGAGCAGCCCTACATTATTGATGGCCCCACTTTAAATGACTGATAGTCCCACACCCTAAAGGACTGATGACCCCGCTGTTAATTACTGATTGACCTGCCCTAAATGACTGATAACCCTACTCTAAGTTATTGATAGCCCTGCCCTAAAGGAATAATAGCCCTGCCCAATTGAACTTATGCCCTGCCCTAAAAAACCAATGGCTCCGCCCTAAAGGACTAATAGCCCTGCCCTAAAGAACTAATAGCCCTGCCTTAAATTACTGATGGCCCTGCCCAAAATGACTGAAAACCTTGCTTTAAAGGACTGATAGACCCGCCCCCTAAATGACTGATAGCCCTGCCCAAAATAACTGATAGTCACGCCCTAAATGACTATAGCCCCGCCTTGTTAAACTAATGCCCCGCCCTAAATTACTGATAGCCTTGCCCAAAAAGGCTGATAGTCCCACCGTGAATTACTGATAGCCCTGCCCTAAATAACTGATAGTCACGCCCTAAATGACTATAGCCCCGCCTTGTTAAACTAATGCCCCGCCCTAAATTACTGATAGCCTTGCCCAAAAAGGCTGATAGTCCCACCGTGAATTACTGATAGCCCTGCCCTAAATAACTGATAGTCACGCCCTAAATGACTATAGCCCCGCCTTGTTAAACTAATGCCCCGCCCTAAATTACTGATAGCCTTGCCCTAAAAGGCTGATAGTCCCACCGTGAATTACTGATAGCCCTGCCCTAAATAACTGATAGTCACGCCCTAAATGACTATAGCCCTGCCCTGTTAAACTAATGCCCAGCCCCCTAAATTACTGATAGCCTTGCCCTAAAAGGCTGATAGTCCCACCGTGAATTACTGATAGCCCTGCCCTAAATAACTGATAGTCACGCCCTAAATGACTATAGCCCCGCCCTGTTAAACTAATGCCCCGCCCTAAATTACTGATAGCCTTGCCCTAAAAGGCTGATAGTCCCACCGTGAATTACTGATAGCCCTGCCCTAAATAACTGATAGTCACGCCCTAAATGACTATAGCCCCGCCCTGTTAAACTAATGCCCCGCCCTAAATTACTGATAGCCTTGCCCTAAAAGGCTGATAGTCCCACCGTGAATTACTGATAGCCCTGCCCTAAATAACTGATAGTCACGCCCTAAATGACTATAGCCCCGCCCTGTTAAACTAATGCCCCGCCCTAAATTACTGATAGCCTTGCCCTAAAAGGCTGATAGTCCAACCGTGAATTACTGAAGCCCTGGCCTAAATGACTATAAAACAAGCACTACTATATACATAGAAAAATGAGAAGACTTAATTTAACAAAGCCCTTAAACAGGGCTTACAGCGATTTCTGGAAAATTACCAGCAAATTAGTTTCTGTGCAATATGTGAACAAAGGACAAGACTGGTAGAATTTCGAGACCATTGGCTAGTTTTTATTTTGTTAGCTGGCTTGAGACCCTGCCTTTTCTATTCTTTTGCATGGGAATATGGAGCACACTGAAAAAAAAAACAATTCACTGGATTTACTAAATATTTTTAAGGTAAGTGGTTAATAAACTAATTAAAATTAGTATTGTTCACCCTAATTTGTTTAAATTCAGTCTTATAAATTGTCCTTTTTCATTTAAAATTAAAATCAGACAGATTGAGAGCACTTCTTTTACGGGAGCATAACGATAACAAAATCATTTCCAAAAATTGATAGCACAGATTAATGATATGGCATAATAACCTTAAGCCAAATGTGTTCAACAGGTCTTAACATACATCAGAACGTGTCCCACAGCAAACGTCTCTGCCAGTCTCCAGGTGGAGTTTACTCCCTGTGACACCGCTTTTGTGTGGCCCAGCTTGCCATTAATTGGGTCTAGTGTTAAAAAAGGAGCAAATTAATTAGCATTAAATAGGTCTGAGAAAGTGGGCCATGTGGTTTCTAGTCTAGTCACTGTAAAAGAGGAAGAAAATAGAACCTTTACATACAATTTTCTAAATTTCAATAGTAAAACATTGTCACAGATCGTTATAGAAATAAACTCTTTTTTTTTTATAAAAACGAATTAATAATCTTATTTTTTTTAAAGAAATGTGATCAATTATATATATATATATATATATATATATATATATATTATGTATATTTATTTATATAACAGGTTCTTGAATCTGATTGGCTGATAGCCGTTTGATATTCTGCATTAACAGCACTCCTACAGCCTCTTCACTCTTGTGTATTCCTCCGCCCACATGGACAGACAGCAGATCAATAAGGTTACCTCCCGGGACACCAACAACAGGCGCTACGTCAAAATTACGCCCCTGCAAGAGCAAGCTCCTGATCGGTTAACATTGCGCAAATGTCCTCTGTAGTTTAGATTTTCCAACTTGAGCAATTCGTTCAACTGGCGCCACTTCATTTGCGCAAATCGCATCATTCACGCTTTCAGATTTAAAGGGCTAGCGTTGCACCAGACCCCCGTAAGTGGTTTCGTTTAAAAGTGTAGGATCTATATTTTATGCACACATGCATCACTTTGGTGTTTATTCTACTGTACAATAGTTATTCACACTTAAATACACAGTATTTTGGATACCCGAGCTGGGTAGTGAACATTGGTTCATTTTCATATTTTTTCATATGACACATGTACAAGTTATAGCTCAAATGAAAGCTCTTGCCGGTGCTCATACGGTTCTAGCGTTCTTTTTACTGAATTATATTCACATATCAAACAGTTGCCGAATGAATCGTGGTGTTTCCATGGCGCATAAGTGAAAACAATACATTTATGATCAATAAGCAGCCCCAGATAGCACAGACAGCTGTCATCTCTTACCTTATGCTGTGTGCTTCAGGGCCATTCTCCTCTGTTTTTGAGGTGATGTGCATAAGTAATCCTTTTATATGTCTGACGTGCTCCAAACACAGTGAATTATGTTTGATCAAACAAAAGAATAGTGAAATATGAAAACAATGATCGCTCCCTGTGGCTTGTACAGCACCTCTCATCAGTTGGAATACAATAACTTTTGCATAGATTATGGTGGAGACATTTTTCTTTTTTCCTATGATTACAGACATGTGCAGGAACCACCAACATTAATCACAGCACGCTAGACCACACAGAACCTAAAAGGTACACTTTCACATTTGAGTTTATAAAAAATATATATATAAAAAGCGCCTCTTTTTTAGGTGTTTATTATAACACAGACAACATATACAGATATGTAAACACTTTCAATAGTGTTAAAAATTTTTTTGCATTTACACCTCTGCATGTGGATTTGGGAAGCGTTTAAATTTGGGTAGGCAAAATCCAGGCGGAAATCCCAAAATAACAGCAGAGTTTAGCTGTAAAGTGAGTTTTTCATTAAAACAAGTAAAATAGGTTAAGCATGGGTTTATTCTTCTGTAAAAATAAAAAATAAGATTATTTATTATAAAATAAAAAATAAATTAAAATAAAAAATAAGATTATTTATTGTAAAATAAAAAATAATTAAAATAAATAAATTAAAAATATTATTTATTATAAAATAAAAAATAAAATAAATAAAATAAAAAATAAGATTATTTATTATAAAATAAAAAATAAATTAAAATAAATAAAATAAAAAATAAGATTATTTATTGTAAAATAAAAAATAAATTAAAATAATTAAAATAAAAAATAAGA